TATATATATATATATATATATATATATATATATATATATATATATATACATATGTACAGGTGAGCTATCTGGCTCTTACGAACAAACTGTACCCACAAGACAGGCAGTAATAAATGCATTAAAGCATAAAGATGAGCAGCACCTTATTGAATCGCAAAATAAAATAAATCTGCACAAATACCAATGTTGGTAAAATACCATGTTTGTATACTTTAGTGTGTACAAGTATGTACATTTCTCACCTTTCATCAAGGGCGAGGGCTCTAGCACTACGAGAAGTGAGCTCTGGAAGACCATGCTGACAGTCCGCATCATAAACACACGTCTCATTAGCATGCCAATACTGAGGACATAAAAGAGAGAAAGTTCAGTTATGTTATCTCAAACTCCACAAATATGCAATATGTCATGTCATGTCATGTCATGTCATGTAATATACACCACAGTTCAATTTTGTTTTAAGAAATTAATACTATTATTTGTTGGGGACACATAAAATGAATCCAAAGTGAGAGGGAAAGACATTTATAATTTTACAAAAATATACACCACAGTTCAATTTTGTTTTAAGAAATTAATACTATTATTTGTTGGGGACACATTAAATGAATCCAAAGTGAGAGGGAAAGACATTTATAATTTTACAAATAAAAAAAACTATGTTTTACTGTATAAATTAGTTTCTATTTTCTATTTATTAAAAATTCTGAAAAAAAAGTACAACAAAAACATGAAGCAGTTTTCAACAATGATAATAATAAGAAATGTTTCTTAAGCACCAAATCAGCACTAAAGACTGGAGTAATGCCTGCTGAAAATTCAGCCTTGCCAGCACAGAAATAAATGACATTTTAAAATATATTTAAATACAAAACAGTAATTATACATTATACATTTCTGCACAAATAAATGCAGTCTTGGTGAGCATTATTTCTTACCAACCCCCAAATTTTTAATGGTTGTGCAATGTAATAGAACATCAACAAGACAAAATATATTTTATTACAGCAAACTAAAGGCTATTAATTTACAGATCAGTCATCGTAGGACATTAATGAGGGTCAAAAACACAGGACTGCCACAATGAGACAGAAAAACACTCCTGTTTACATGCTTACAAGCAGTGCGTTTGCTTACACACTTTAATTGATTCTCAATTAACAGTTAAAAATCTCTCAGGGGAACTTCCTTCACAACATAATCAATAGCGCGCCAAGATCCACAGCCACGGGCTGATTAACCCCCTGCTAATTAGTGACCATCACACACCTCAATTTCTCCCAGCTCCAATCAGAACATCCGGAGGGCCCTGTCAATCAATCACAGAGTCTGGAGTCACGGCTTCTACGATGCTGCTTTTCACATCTAATATTTTTAATCAGTAATGCATAACGGTTGCATAAATATTAGTTTGACTCTTCCTTAAGGTTGTAAAAATTGTGTCTTCATATAAACGTCCTTTCCATGTGAGTAGACTCTGAGGCCTCTGACAGAGAAAGCGAGTCGAGAAAGAGAGAAGGAGATGCGGGTAAAGGTCAACTGGACTTTAAGAGAAGAGTAAGGAATCGTCTGTCATCTTAAACCATCCTTTTAGATCTAGATGAACCCAGTCAACAACAGCAGCCGGTCAGACAGAAAGCCAATCTGCCATCATTCTCATGCAAACACCCTCCCTGCATCCACTCAATAACACTCTTTCATATTTCACTCAGATGAGAGGAGAGAGAAAGAGAGCTGTAAGAAAGACAGACAGTCTTAAAGAGGAAAACGAGCAAGTCAGAGAGCGAGAGAGAAGGGTGCGAGAGATCGAAAACGAGTCTAAAACAGGCGTATCACACGAGCAGTTTGCCCGATAAGATTCGTACTCTCAGATTGCTGATGGCGATCAGTGTATGGGGGTCAGTTTTTGGCCACTCAAGCGTTTCAGATGGGGCCGGGATAAGTGTCCAAATTAGCTTTTAGTGGCCCTGAACAGACAACGGCAGAAACCCAATCTGTGGGAAGCAAGGCCTGAATGCACGACTGTGTCGAATGAACGATCCCCCTGCGTGTGAAACTTTACATTCCTCCCCATTCACTGACACTGCCTTTAGCGTAGAGAGGGAGAGAGAGACCAAAAGAGAGGAGAAAAAAAAGATGAAGGTACCAGAGAGAGAGGGAGAGGTTACTGAGAAAGGGAAAGAAAGAGAGTGAGAGAAAGAGAGGTAAGAAAATTTGAGCAGATATTTAACTTTTAGAACTGCACATCTGTCCCACTCACCTGGTATTTTGAAGGCACGTACATTAATGCAAGAATTTATGCATTGCTTAAACAGTACAAGTTGTGATTGTTTGGATATTTGCTCAGACGTAAATTTAGAAACCAGACCTCTCGATTAATTCTGGGTTAGAAAAGATTGTTTGTATTCAAATTATCTTTAAAATGAAATAGGCTATCTTTATAAAAAAAATCAACCTTATTATGGAAAATGCAAAATGTTAATTTGTTAATCAATGTTAATTCTGATTTGCGGCTCAATAAATATTTCTTGTTAGGCAATATAATAAGAAAAAATATGCAAATAACAAGAAAAAATATTTCTGCACTGTGCAAATAGCGATAGAGGCTATTATATCAGCAACAAGTATATCTCTATTCAAGCAGTCCAACCTTATGCATCCTGGAGGCCTTTCAGCTCACACCTGAACCTGTTTTACTCTCAGCTCCCACAAAAGGCTGTGTTTACTTCCATTACTATCTCTCTTTCTATCTCTCACACACACTCTCTATCGCTGTCTCTCTCCTTCTTTCGCGCCTGGGGCCGAGATGGGTGGAGAGATATAGTGAGAAAACACTGCGAAAAAGAAAAGGGCCGCGTTTCTTTCACAGAGAGATGGTGGGCTACAGAAACCGATAAAGCGAGAGGGGGCATAGAAAAAGGTGTAAGGAGAAATCCAAAGAACAAAGTCTTCCAACACCATTCCTGCAACATTAATGGCAAAGCGTGACTTGGCTGGAAACGGTGTTGCAGCTAGAACGGACTCAGTTTCACCATCATTTTATTACTGAAAAAACAAAACACACTCCCTACCTGTACTGAGAGAGTAAGAAACCCCCGACTGATGAGCCACAGATGGAAAAAGCCATGGCAACCACCCCATTCCACAACCCAAGCTCTCTGGCCGTCATGTGGTGGTCCAGCAGGAAGAGAGGAAACATGGTGATAGCCCCCTGTTCACCTGTTCAGAAAATATAAGGTTACATCAGCACTATACACACACAGTTCAACGATTGTAAACGCTCTTTCAGATAGAGAGAACAAGAAGACCAAGAAAACTGAGCGGATTATTGAAAATGTGCTGGATTCTTATCACATTGCATCAGACTTTTCTCAAAACTGGTGTTAAACTCCCGATAATATCCACAGATCACAACACAAACTCAGTCAAAACAAAACACTTGTTATCTGAGAATGGAAAAAAGTGATAACCTGAGCAGAGGCCACATTTTTCACACTTGAGTCCTTGCCTTCCAGTCACTTTTTTTCTGAGCGTTTGTCACATAAACCTAGACAAATGTGACAAAAACAAAAGCTGCCAGTGAAAATGCTGCCTCTACACTGCGCAGAGTCCTGCGTCGCTGCATGCTAGCGGGTGCACAGAGGCCTTGGTAACCCGCCGCCGTGTATTATTTAACGGCATTGTCATTATTTATGGAGTCTGCCTTCAGTTCGACAGCGAGACAGCCCGCTGACTGACAGCTCTGAGACCGCCGTCAAAAAGAAACTGCGCTTCCGGGGTTCCCGGGATGAAACCGGTGAGAAACAAAAACAGAAAATCAAATCAAAAATCAGACACTTCTGTCGGAGTTCTGCTACGGTCGCTGACAGCGCCACGTGAGCGCTTTGACATCGCTTTCTTTGTAGGGGATTGAGTCTGACAGTCTAACTAAATTTGTAAAGGATGTTGTAAAGTCTGTAATGTGGTGGCAACAACGAACAATGTGACTCGTTTTTCACATTCAGCGCATCTTTTCTTCATATAAGGCAGCTATGCCACTTAGGTCCAGTGTGTTCCAAGTAATAAGGATGCTGTTTTATATAAGGATGAACACATATGAGCCAGTCACTTTCACTTTGCAGTTTGTACAAAGAGCATTAAAAACTGATTTGACTAATGTCAAAATAGTCAATTATAGCCTAAAATTTGACACAGTTCCCCAGCATAACCATAACTTACTTGAAGACCATAGAAACCATGGGTAGAACCACAGAGGCCACTCATTACCATACTAAAATCACAGTAACAATGGCTTATAAACTACACTTAAGTGTTATATTAAATATTTTTTAAATAAATAACTATTTAAAAAATAAAAATGTCCTTATTTAATTATCCTTTATATTACAGAAAGACAGTACATGGATTTCCACTAAAATATATTTATATACAATAAATACCGTTGAAAATGTATGTAAAGGGAACACTGCAGAAAAAATTGTGTACATAGTGTCAACATGGAAGTGTAAATATATACAAAACACCAAAGATGATCACTGAACAGCTTAGATGCTGCTGATAGTCTCATATGCGCAGCTAGACATGCGCTTCAGCCTCAGTCTTTTTTTTCTACTACGCTGCCTCAAACTAATTATTTTTTAAGCAGGGATGGAAAACAAACTACAAGGATGCTTATTTATGTCTATAAATAATCTCAGAGCAACAATTGTCCATTTCACATGGGATTTCATTAGACATCCACAAAAACACAGTGGAGGAAAGCAGAAAAGGGGAGGCACTGGGAGGAGAAAGGGGGGAGTGAGAGAGAGAGAGAGAGAGAGAGAGAGAGAGAGAGAGATGCTGTATCAGTTCACCACGGTTAACAACGATAGATAATGGGGAACAGATGAAGACAAAAATGGACAACAGATTCAGGATGAGATGGAACGATTATGACAGCGAATAGGTAATGAACTACACTAGAATTGTGTGGTAGTGATTGAGAAGTTCACCGGATGCAAGATTTGAAACTCATTTTAAGTTACTGCCATTGCAATTCCTAAAAAAAAATGAAATTCTGTTAGGAATTACTAAAAAAGAATAGTTCAAACTAAAACGAAAACCATCTCGTACTCATTCTCCTGTTGTTCCAAACTGTATGACATTATTTTTTCTGTGAAGCCAAAATGAATATACCAATTATTTACATGCAATTACAATGAATGAGGACAGGAGCTTTCAATTCTCAAAAAGGAAGCACAAGCACCATAAATTATCAGTAGCTCACATGATTTATAATAGTTTGGTGTGATGGACAGACTAAAATGTAAGTGATTTACTGAGACCTTCCCTTCCAGTAAAAAGTGTGAGTGACGTGGCATAATGGTGACCCATACTTGGAAATAGTGCTCTGCATTTAACCCATCCAAAGTGCACACACACAGCAGTGAACACACACACCAGCCATTTATGCTGCGGCGTCCGGGGAGCAGTTGGGGGTTCGGTGCCTTGCTCAAGGGCACCTCAGTCGTGGTATTGAAGGTGGAAGAGAGCGCTGTACATTCACTCCCCCCACCTACAATCCCTGCCGGTACGAGACTCGAACCCACAACCTTTGGGTTACAAGTCCGACTCGCTAACTATTAGGCCACGACTTCCCCATAGGGTGTTAACTGTCAGTGAGCTGAATTCAGCCTGATCCATGAACAAATTGTTTTGTAAATGGGATAAACTGATTCACTGGAAATATATAACTCTAAATAAACTCTAAATAACGCCATTCTCATGAACACCAAAGTTCTCAACGAAGAATTTCAGTGAATAAAGATTTACATTTCAGTCTGCACAATACAGTGGATAAATCAAATGGACTACTTATTTTTAAATCATTTTAAAGCTTGACATCTCCAGTCCTTATTTGTTTTTATTGCATTAAAAAGAACGTCCAGGATATTCTCCAAATATTCATGTTTTGTGTTCCACAGAAAATAGAAAGCCATACAGCTTTGGAGCAACATGAGGATGCAATTCAATGAAACACCACCTCAACTAAACTTCAAAAGTGTTAGAGATGCTGACTAAAACCAGCACTGCGATACATCTCAAAGTCCCCGAGTCTTCAGCATGGGAACAGCCTGAGGAACCTGGGCCCCTCCCAGTTCATGTAGATCACTATGCCGTGTGTATCTGCATCTGTGTGTACTTGAGCAGGTCACACAACTCCATTGTAAAAGCTCCTCAACCAACGACAAGCCCCATACCAAGTCTCTACGGACCTCTGAGGTTAGAATCCGCAAAGGTCTAGGTTATTCCCTTTACATTCTGGGACACAATGACATAATTGTTTGGATGAAACAAAAGCATCGAGAACTATCACTTGCACCGTTAACTATGTGAATGCGAGCGAAGATACAGTGGTATGGATATGGAAAGGAGATGCATCCTATTCAAAGTGTGATGTACTGTAAGCTCACATATCTAAACAGAATGCTTTTTAATGTTCACACCCGAGTTACACAATGGTCCAGACAATGGGGAAACAATGTAGGTCAACTAAAAGACATCACATACTTTACTAATCTTCTTTCTTGGAATTCTGTGTTCTCCATCACTCTCAACTCACGCGTTTTCTCGTCATACCCGATGCCCCCTGCACCCCACCATCTCTCTCGCATAGTTGACCATGTGGTGGGTGTTCATTAATTCATCCCCCCCTGCAGTCCTCTGCGTTCCCTGGCCCCTGCTGTGCGGGACAGAGGGAGGGCAGCATCAGGCGATATACATGTGTGTATGAGTGTGTGTTATGTATATATACAGTTGGAGAAGAAGAGTGAAAGACAGTGAGGCAGAGCAAAAGTGGCTTTCTAGTTTCTACTCCCATAGAGAATCCAACTTTAACCCCCACAAGAACACTCCCGCCTCCAGCTGGACTCTTCCCAGGGAAGCTCCACGTCTGGCCCAATCCCAGCGCCCTCCATCCCACCACTGTCCCCCCCATCACCCTTTATCAACGCTTGGGCTGAGAGAACCTATATCTAACACATTTTAGTAACAACCTGTGATACAATAGAGGCACTAGATAGCATGCAACAATGTTGTGATTAATTTGTCATCTTAGAAGGACACATTATTCTACAATACAATAAACCTTGTTTTAAAACTATAGTAAATAACAGGGAACTTTAGTTTGTGAATTCCTATGTAATATTTATGATCACATAAAACAAGCAATAAAAGTAAAAACGACCATATAAAGGCATGGTGGATTCTAAGCACATACTAAATATTCTATATTCACTATAACCGTGCGTTAATAGTTTTAAAGTGATTTTATTGTTTTGTATTAATATTTATTGATAAACACAGGAAAATCAATACATTTGTTTTGTTTTGTTTTTCAGAAAAAGTACGCTCTCCTAAAAAAACGTACTTAAGTAAATGTAAATGAGAAACAAAACAGCATAAAATATTTACTAGACTTTTTTTCTAGATAATAAATTGTGAATTCTTCTTGAACGTTTATTCTCTTATCCCACTGGTAAATAGTTTTTTGTTGTTTTTGGCTTTTAGCATAAACTGCACAAAGTATTGTTAGATTTATGCAAAAATGTTTAATGAGTTTTTTTAAACAAAGTTTTTTTTGTCAATGGAAAAATAAACTTAATACAGGACATATTCTCTGAAACAAGTTCTAATATCTTATGCAAATTAGTTTCAAGTGAATGAATATTATTTTAAAAATGTTTATATATCTTTACTGAAAAGTAAGACACAAATACTGTTTAAGAAAATTATTAAGTTTTGCAATGTTCACTTTTAAGATGTTAGTGCATTAGTAAACTAGTTTGTGTCATCCGAAGTGCTGTTTAATAGTGATTATGATGATGATCGGGGGAGAAACCTTAAGACAGATTAAGAGGGGGGCTACCGCTTGTCCTGTCTGCTGAAGCTCATCCGATTACAGTGCCACCTCTCTCTCTTTGCCAGAGACACATACACATAACACACAAAGCTTGGTTTTCTGATTAAATTGTTCTGAACAAAATATTACACTCAAATGAAGCACAAATTAATACACTGACATAAGCAGTGCAGCACATATTTCTAAATTCAGTTTTCAATGAAAATACCACAGACACAAAGAGACTCTAATCCAGACATAATCCCCTTCTGGTGCCAAACACAACATTCAGCTCATTGAAAGTGATTTATTAGCTGCTATGTATGTATATTCCTGATTCAGATCATGTCACAGAAGGTAGGTTTGTGGTCAAACGCTGGTGCAAAGTTAAATGAAAGATTTCAATAGCAGTACAGACATTCTGAACTGAACTGGGTAACCAAACTGTGTATAATTTCCTGATGTTTAGAGGCTTCAGAGCCATTGAGAATAAGATGACAGTAAGCATGGAAAAGGCCAAGCCTGCCATCTTGTGGACAAACACACTACCATGACTTCGTTTCAAGTTCATGGTCAGTCATGGTAATGAATGAAATAACTGGAGGGAAAAAATGTACAAACATTTATAATTTTCACATCACCTCACTATTGTGATATTGTATAAAAATGTCACTTTCCTGGTAAATAACATAAGGAATTACTGTACACTTGCTTATAGTTGTCAGAGCACAGAAATAATTTTTAACATTTACATTTTTTATTATATACATTTAAAATATATTCTGTACACACACATAATATTTTTAAAATAATAATACATTTAAAAGAATTACACATTTTAATAAAGAAAGTGACTCATTTATTTGTACAATCAGAATAGTGGGGCAGAAGGAAAGCAAGAATGCATTATGAATTTATTAATTTTGCTGTTCTGTCTGGTGATGTAGAAATGACACTTCTTTTTTTTTTTTACTGTATGAATATAGTCAGTTCAGTACTCTACAATAGGCGTGTTTCAACTTATTCAGCAAATTAGAGGGAAATGTAAATGTATTTTAAAGGAACACTCCACTATTTTTGAAAATAGGCTCATCTTTTTTTTTTTTACTGTATGAATATAGTCAGTTCAGTACTCTACAATAGGCGTGTTTCAACTTATTCAGCAAATTAGAGGGAAATGTAAATGTACTTTAAAGGAACACTCCACTATTTTTGAAAATAGGCTCATTTTCAAACTCCCCTAGAGTTAAACAGTTGAGTTTTACCATTTTCGAATCCATTCAGCTGATATCCGGGTCTGGCGGTAGCACTTTTAGCTGTAGCTTAGCATAGATCATTGAATCCGATTAGACCGTTAGCATCCTTGAACTATACTCTCATTCCGGCGTAATAATCAAGGAACTTTGCTGCCGTACCTAGAAAATTGCAACTTTTCATTTTCCGTCGGTCTTAGTACATGATTTAACTACAGAAGAGTCAAGTTTTAAATAGGAAAAATATAGAAACTCTTCGGTCATTTTTGAGCGAGATGCTAACGGTCTAATCAGATTCAATTATCTATGCTAAGCTACAGCTAAAAGTGCTACCGCCAGACCCGGAGATCGGCTGAATGGATTCGAAAACGGTAAAACTCAACTGTTTAACTCTAGGAGAGTTGGAAAATGAGCCTATTTTCAAAATCAGTGGAGTGTTCCTTTAAGATCTCCAAATCATTTAACTCAATCGATCTTATGTTGAATTACGACAAATATCTTACCTAGCTTGTATGTGAAAACGTAGAACATCATCCATGGCGTTCCTGGCACAGACAAGAGCTTCCTCCACACCTTCCAGGGTTGCATCACATCCTTTGACCCTCTCCGTCCTTCTCCCTGTCCCCACACCGACTCTCCATCCAACACCGGAGCACCCCACACGAACAGAGCAACACCACCGTAAACACAGGCCAGCAGTGCGAACATCCAGCCCCAGCCTGCAACATCAATCACAGCCAGGAGCCCCCCTCCAGCAAACACAGAGCCAGCTTTATACCCCACCACCTGCACAGTGTTTCCCAGACCCAGCTCCCCCTGCCCCCTGAGCAGCCGCACGGCCACTCCGTCCGCCGCAATGTCCTGCACTGATGCCAGCACGTTCATAGCGAGCAGAGAGCCCACTACGCCCATGTACTGAACATCAGGTGAGATTGTAGCGCTCACCAAACAGGTGAGAGCCAGACCAGCCACTGTGCCCACTAACCAGCAGCGCTTGGTGCCAGTCCGGTCCACCAGAGGGGCCCAGATTACCTTGAGCACCCAGGGGAAATAGAGGATTTTGGTGAGGCTGATGCGGGTGAGGGAGTGGCTGGCACCGCGCAGGTACACCGGGAGCAAAGAAGACTGCAGGCCATACGGAATGCCCTGGATGAAGTAAAGGAGACCCAGGAACACCAGTTTGTCGTTCATCATTGAGAAAGGCGGGTTTGGGGAGCCTCAGCTCATGGTTGTACTCTGTAAGCAACACAAGTATAGTGTTTGACATAGTGTTTGACATGGACTTGTCATAATGGTTTCTATTCAAGACAAGACATCACAACGAAATACAGTGACATTTTTAACTATTATATAACATCATACTTTCTCAGTTGACTGATTACAGTACATTAAAACAATTGTATTACAAGTTTTCTGACATGTTATGATGTTTAAACAATCTTATCTAATTAAATGTGCACACATTTGCATAGATTTCTAGAACAGAATAAAGCCAGGTTTTCAAAGATCCTCCTTTCATTTTGTTGACATATTAGAGTTAAGGGTTTTTATAAAGGATACTTGTTGGGGTGTCTTTTTTTTAATCACTCCATGAATCAGGAGATATTGTCAACACCCAGAAACAAATAAACATCCTTAAAAAATGACAGGAATAAAACTGGAAAGTTTGATGTACAGAAGTACTATTGAATGGAATATATCTGACAATTTCTTTCTCTTATTTCTCCATGAGAAAAAAAAACTCACTTTGAGAAAATGCCTTTTAAATATATTGTATTTGAAATCAGATGCAAATAGATGTGTCATAAAATAAAACGTGTAATAAAATAAACATATCTATCTTGGGTGTTTGAAAGAAGACATGTTATGGAATCAAAATAGACCAAAATCTTTAACTGACAAGTGTATGAAAAAAACAATGGTTTTGCCAGTAGTGTCTTACCTTAAAAACACAAACTAGCATTGCAAAGAGTGCTGAGTGGTTCATTCATTCATAGCACAGTGTCATTCATTCATGAGTCATGACAGCTGGATTTAACTGATATAACTAATGCAAGTCTCATTAGATACGTTTCATATACATTCTGCAAACTGCTAGACACTAACATATAAATATTAGAGAATTAAATATTCAAGAACGATTTCATTTACAGTCATAAACAGTCCATTCTGTCACAACATGTTTTACTTGAGGGAGACTTACAATTAGGATTAAGAACAACAGAAACTATGTATATTGAAATGCACAAATAATACAATTGAAGTACAGCAAATACCTTACTGTATCTACAGGTAAATGTCTCCTTCACCCGCTGTGCTCTATGCAGCATAACCTCTATTTTCCAATCCTCGGTACTTCCGCGGGAGCGCTTGACGTAACGCACTCTTTCAACCAATCACCATACAGTCCTCGAGAGCGCCGCTCACAGCCTCGGTACTCAACAGCGCCACCCGTCATAACAACGGTACTGCAGCGTGGGGCAGGAATGACAGCAAGTCTAGGCCACGGAGTAAGCGATGTAAAGATATCATGCCCTCACTCTTAAATCTCCCACTTTATCTCTTTTCCTACCACTCCCATTGTTCCAGTCAAACATGTTTCTGACAAACAGTCCAAGTCGTAATTTGTCTTCTGTCATCCGGAATATTTTGTGGTAAATGTTTGTATACACTGCAGGTAAGTGTATAAACCCTGTTACAGGGTAATTAATTTTTTTAATTAGTTATCAATGGATTTCCTTGATAAACATAAAGGCATCTTTATTCAAAAGAAATATAGCTTGTACTTGAATCAAATGGTCATTATGATATGACTTACATTTGCAATTAATCGTTTTTTACAATTCATATTTATTATAAGCCAGCAAACAGGCGAATGTTCACTTAAAAACCAAGAACCTTTATGCACATTTCCCCTTGGTTAATACCTACTCAACAGACGCTTTGTATTTATGACAAGAGTAGTCTCATCACTCTCTAATATAAAAGCCATATCAAATATAAAAATCATAAGATTTTTGAGGACCAATTGGAGTTCCTCAGATTGCCACACTTTGCAGAACCTGCTGGAGCACCCTTTAAAGGCACCTCTCGAAAACTTGAGTTGGTTTACAAATTAGAGCCCAGTGAACAAAACAAGTCCTTCTTTTGTGATTTGAGTTTCCATCCCTTATGTCAGGGGTCACCAGGCTCGGTCCTTGAGGGCCGGTGTCCTGCAGAGTTTAGCTCCAACCCTAATCAAACACACCTGAAGCAGCTAATCAAGCTCTTACTAGGTATACTTGAAAATTCCAGGCAGGTGTGTTGAGCCAAGTTGGAGCTAAATTCTGCAGCACACCGGCCCTCCAGGATCAAGTTTGGTGACCCCTGCCTTATGTGATCCCCTTCATATCTATGACCACAGAGTAGGGATGGGAAGATTCCCCGATTCGCTCGGTGCATCATTGGCATAAAAAGTTAACGATGCGATGCATCGGTTTAAAAAGTGTGCATCGGCTACAAGTTGTCATTTATATCGCGATACATCGTTTCTAACATATTTGCATCGGTAAAAACCGATTCATTTATATATAATTACTAGTGGATGCACTATACTTTTATTATTTAGAAAGTGACCAATAATCTGTGACCAATATTAAAAGATCACATTTTTATATGTAGATTGACTAATGACTATGATTGACGTGACTAAGCTTGATCTAGGCCTATGTTAAATTTGCTTTATGGAACCAAATCATTTGACAATGAGTCAGACTAACTGAAATAAGCCTGGCTTATTTGGTTAACTTGTTTAGTGAAACAGGCCTCAAGGCATGAAAAGTTATCATATTTTCTCCATTGCATCGTATTGCATCGAATCGCATTGTGTCGAATCGAAATCAGATCGCACTGCATCGTAATAGGGGTGAATCGTATCGCATCGGTAGCTGCTTCATATGTACCTTTAATGTATCGTATCGTTGGCTATGCATCGAGATGCGTATCATATTGGCCTGAGTCATGAGATGCACATTCCTACCACAGAGTCATTAAACTTCCATTTTGTGCATGCTTTTGTTTGTTTTTTCAGAGTCAACGTGACTTTAAAAATGAATAAATACACCATTCATAACACGCCACTTAGAAGCTTTGCATGAATTTACAGACATATACATTTAGTCAAGTTTTATTTATCAAAAATGTTTCTCATTCTACTACAGTTGTTTATATGAGGTGTTTAATTCATATATTGATAGCTAGTGGTATGCTGGTGGGTCTTCATCTGTATACATTCATTAGTGACACCAATTAATTGCCACACAAGGCTAGCAGGATTGTCTCGTAGTCTCCTTTGGTGTCATCCTAAAACAAACAAAACACAATCTTTAACAACTGAATCTATACAGTATAACATTTATTCATTTTTGATTAATTTACTGAATAGTGTAATGATGACCATATTTAAAATGTGCTAAATGAGATTTATTTACCTGGATGTCCTGGTAGAGGCTCTTGCCAAACTTACTCTGGTACTCTTGCTTGATTTTGGCCAAGTCAATCTCAGAACGGCTCACCAATATTCTGGTCAAGATCTTGCCTTTATAACCAGAGCCCTGTGAAAACACAAAATCACACTGAGTGGTTCTTTTCGTTTTTAACCGTGATATATTTAAAACGGCTGTAATGTCATTTTAAATGTTACATGGATCTATTAGATTGCCAGTTACACTTGCCTTCATTGCCTGGTTTAGTTTTTCAACAAAGAAAGCAGGTTTGTTTCCAGCACATTTCACTGTTGAAAAGATGTGTCACATATTTATTTTGAAAATGGCATTCAAAGACCAGCTTCTGTTTCATTGCTCAAAGCTTAAAATAACATTCTTGTCATATTATTGCATGCAGTAGAAAGAAAGATTAAAACAGCATTCTTGTTATACTGTAAGAAAGTAATTCAAGTCTTAAAAGGTATGGTACATCTAAGAGAGCATCTGCAGCAATTCAAAGAAACGTTTGCGGTGAACTTATTGCATGTCATACCATTTTAAAATGCAGCATGTAATGCAATAGACAGACAGATAAAAAGGGTTCAGTGTCTCACCAACAGAAATCAAGCAGTTCTCAATATCACCCTTCAACTCCAGATCAATGGCTTTTGCGACATCCACCTTACTGTACTTGGAGTACAGCTGAAAAACTAAATAAAGAAAAGGTTATGACTAAAGTGGATTAGAAGAAAGTGTACTACTTATTTTGAAAACAGGGATGTTTTGTGTGGAGGAAGTCAACCATACCTTTCCTCAGGTGACACGCATTCCTTGAAGTGAGGATGTCAATGAATACGCCACAATCTGTGCCTTTTCTTTTCTCTCCTGCCTCATACAAGGCCTACAGGCAGAATCAGAGGTCAAAAGGACATATACACACAATGACCCACCACATACTCACAATGCACGGTTAATTACCCTGGCATCTTTGTCAGCCAAGTCCTCTTGCACAATCTTGTCTTCACTTCTGGTAGCCTGTGAATTCAAATAAAAAGTTTAACAATGAGCAAAAGCATTTTGTGCCAATTCAAGTCACAAATCACTCTCCTAGTAAGTTGAATTAGACGTGTGAGATAAGACATCCAAAACATGATGTACTGGGAGGGGCAGAATTGAGAAACACTATATGAGCAAAGCCAACCTTGCAGAGGGAAAGCAGGGCATTCCTGAAATCTCCACCTGTCTCAGACTTGATCTCCGCCTCTAGATCCTTCTTATATTCTATAAATACAAGTCATACATTCAGTTTTTATATATACTGCATTCACATACGTACCATAAACCACGAGTGTCCAATCCTGCTCTTGGGGGGCCAGTATCCTACAGATTTTAGTTTAAACCCTAATTAAACACACCTAAACCAGCCAAGCAAGATCTTCAGGATTACTAGAAACTTCCAGGCAGGTGTATTAAAGCATGAAAGGGCTAAACTCTGTTGGCCCTACAGAAGCAAGATTGGACACTCATGCCATAAACATATTTAAAGGATAACCGGATGATAACTAGCACTAATGTTACCTTGTTTGAAAACCTGTTTAATCTCTCGGATCTCTTTATTGGTCCTGGAGGCCAAGATCTCAACAAGTGTATCTTCATCTGTACCCAAACCCTGAAGAGAAAAAGACTTTAAGTTATGCAGCCCATGTCAAATCTTCTATATCAACAGGCTGAAAATAATCTTACCTTCATGGCACTTTTGAGCAGAAAGGAATCATATTGAGCTGGAGTCATCAACAAGCCCAGAACCACTTCTTCCAGCTCACCTTTAAGAGCAGCTTTCAGCGCTACATCCAGAGGCTGCACAGAGGAGAAGAAGTGATTTAGGTGAGGGAGGATCCAGACAGTAAAAATGTGTTGATATCAGGTCTAGTGAATGTGATACCTTGCCGTTTACTTGCTGGTAAGCAGCCTTGATTTGCTGGCGCTGGGCATTGCTCCTGCGGACCAGCGTTTCAATGATTGTGGCCTCATCCACACCTGAGAACCGAAACTTTTTTCAACAGAGCAAACAGATGCAGAATGCAAAGATGTAGATGTATTTTATTCATCTTCACTTTTCAGAATTCATATACCTACCTTTTGTCTTGATAGCCTTGTCCAAGACGCCTGCATCCGCAGCTGCATTAAACTGAGCAAAAGGCCTCACTGTGCCCTGCCCCCCCTAAAGACACTAGAGAGCTTATTAAAATCCTTTAAAAATAGCCTACGTATAATCACGAACTGACTTCCAGCAGACCAGTGTAAGAAGTCTATTCAATAAAAAATTCAAGAAGCAAATTTTAGGAAGGAAATAGAAATACTGAAGCTCTTGCCCTTTAACAGGATGAAAGTGACTCAAATGGGGAGTGGAGTACATTCCTGTCACTGACTCATTCAGTCTGGCTCTGCTCAAATTTTCCAGAAAGCTGAATAAACTTACTGTGATGTCTTGTACTGTGTTGTCTTGCATGCCCTGATAGGAAAGCTGCTCAAGAAAATAACCGAGTGTGGACATTTTGGCACCTGGAACTCAACAGCTCAACCTACAATACATGTTGGAATATATTAAAATACACAAAGTAAATCAAAAAGCAGAATCTTTTCAGGAATGAATCATCCAAGTTTTCTAGCCGTTTTAATTCATCTTACAGGAATACATGATTCTCCAAAAGAATCTATAAATTCTTTAAGCAATACTATTGCATAACTTTCAATAGCAACTTTTCTTTTACATTTTTTTTATAATTTGCATTTTTTTCAGTAAACAAACAACGCTGACATAAATATGTAACAATTATATATTTAACCAAAAAAACTGACAGCACTGTCGAGAGTTTAGACAACGTGTAAGAAGTAAAGAAAATCCCAGTTTCCCACTTACCAAGACCGAATGCACAGCAAGCGAGCAGA